GAAATGATAACACAGCAGCTAAAAATGTTAATGTTTTTATGTTGTATTTCTGTACTTTAAATTCATTTGACTTGTTTCTTTATTGTTGTTTTATCTGTTCATTTGACTGAATTGTGAAGAACGTTGGTCAATTTCTGATGTTTTTATGTGCCATATAAATAAATTGAGATCTTCATCTAAATTTAGCAGAACTGTAGTTAAAAGCCAAATGAACCATTAAAAAAATACAAACAAAAAGAGAGAGTCAGTATGCTGAAGCAAAGTTTTAAGAAAACAATGTCTTTAAAGTAGGGATGTCCAATAATGTCGGCCTACAGATATTATCGGTCCAATATAAGCATAAAAATATAAAATCTCTACATACCAGTATCGGGTTTTTTACTGATAACAAAAAAGCCAGATTAATTAATGCCTGGATTTGACCAAAATGTGTTCATAAATGCTTTTGGGCCAGAAACGTTCACCGGCGCAAGATTGACGACATCATCAAACTGGATTATCTCAGGGAGAGCATGATCCAAACTATTGTTTGAGACAAAATGTTAAAAATAAATATGGCACTTTTCCCATAACTTCAGTGAAATAGTTTTTATTTTGAACAGACAATGGGCCTCATGGAAGAACCGTTCGTACGCACAGATTTGTTCTTAAAGGTGCAGTATGTAACTTTTCTAAAAATGTATTTTTTACATATTTGTTCACTCTGTCACTATCTCCTGACAGATTGATATTAGACAGGTAAGCTATGGAGGAAAAAAGAGTCCTCTTGCTTTTCCCGGTGGTACTACAGGCTTTAGANAAGTTATAAAAACTGAACAGTGCACAGTATTTTTGCAGTCTTTGTTTTACAGTTGAAGTTAATGCTTGTCAAATATAATGTTGCATCTTTTTTTTAAAAAAAAGATAAATGTCTCACAACACAATATTTTTACAGAGCAATCATCTTATTAGTATGCATGCTTATTGTCTGTCATTTTGAGAACATTAATTAGGTCAATATGGCTATTTYAGAAATATTGCCCAGATCTGATCAAGATGTGTGTCTATAAAAATAATGACAAAAAGCTAAATTTCTTATAACAGACAGAACAAAATGATTTACGCCTTTGAACCTTATTTTATTGTAAAAATCAGAACACAAGGCTGGATGTAATAAAAGACAACAATGGACGAAACGTGCCTTTTTAAATCCCAATAAATCTTTGTTTTTCTTAGATTTTATCCTTCATTTGCTAAACCACATTGTTGTAGTGACGTCCTCACAGGCTTAAAATGTGTAAAGTGTATCCAGGGTCTTTGAAATATGGAGTCATTCATCAGTCAGATAATAACCGACAAAAACATGACAGGAGTGAAGTGCAGGCTGGGTAAAGAGCTATGCACTTCTCAGTTAAAATATAAAATTACAACAAAACTTCAAGTCAAAGGAAACTCTTTTTTTCAAGAAGGCTTTTTTATAATCATTTAAAATGTCAAATTGCAATGATCTGAGGAGCTCCGCACACTGTTAAAGCTTTAAACAAGTGGCTTTTAATTATTGTGAATTATTTTTCTGTGGTAACAAACTGTAAACATGCTACGGCTTCTCTTTAAGGCGATCCAACATTTATTGGGTGGTCTGGCCTTTTCTATTGAACATGTGACAAAGTCATCAAAGTAGCTCAGAGTTAAAGTCAGCTGAACATTTCAGGAAAAGCCAAGGAAAAGGACCAAGTAGAAAAATTATAATGCATTAAATATGTCTGAAACCTTACTCTATTGTAATTTTACCAGCATTTCTCTGTGTTAACCAGACTTTATACTGGGAATGTGAAGATTAATGGAGATTATTGTCCTGAAATATGTGAATTATCAGTAGCTTACCTGTTGTAGTCTGACTGGATTAGCTCATGGCTAATCTGAGTGGTGCCAAAATAAAACAACTTTTATTAAAGGTCCAAAGGAGCAGGATGTCATCAGTTTCTCATATGATTATTCCATTAGAATGTTTTTTTTCTTCTTTTTGCTGCAGGAAGTGCTACAGGTAGCTGCTACTGCCTCTGTTTCTGTGTAAATAACTGTAATRTGAAAGTGAATGTTAAGAAGTGGTTTATAAAATAAAGAATAAAGAATTAAAGTGGGTAGGATCTTTTTCATTGCCATGTATTGTACAGATTCGTATCAGCTGCATTTCAAATTACACTGCGCTGAGCCAAAGGTTTGCAATTAAAAGATAAATTATATTGTGAATCATATCATGTTTTGCTGCTGATGTATTTTTAATCAAACTGCTGTCAGTGTATAGAGATAAATATGAAAAGTAAAGGACTTTTAATGACCACCACATCAAATTCTGGTTCTATATCTGTAAAACGGATTCAGTCATCCTTGGTGAACATCTTGAATTGACCTGACTTCAAACTTTAATCACTTAGATGTACGTCTCTAAGTTCAATCAATACTAGATATTTTGCTAACAAACAAACAAATGCACACAGGCAGAAACATTATCACCTGCCTCTCACCTTCTGATGGCAGGTAATAATTATCACCCTACATTTAGACCAGAGGAGCCCAAAGTGGGGCCTGCGGGCCAAATTTGGCCCGCCAAGCCACTTGATTTGGCCCACCAACAGTTGCCAAAGTTACAAGGTTGTAAACTGTTATCCTATAGGTAGAAACACAGTATTTCCATTGGTCAAATGCCTATATAAAAGGGCTGTAGTGAAGGTAGTTTTCATTCATGATGCTGACATATCTTTGATTTATTAGGATTAAACMTGAAACATGAAACGACAACAAGAAATATTTAGATCAGATTTAACCCCACATGTAGATTTGCACACTTTATAAGGCCACAAAAACTCATATTTTATCAATTTATGAAATGTCCCATGAGCCTTTGCTACTTGAGTGTATGGCAGACTTTCTCCAAGTGCACAAACTAAAACAAAAGAGGGCCATTGCACAGCTTCATCGTTAAAAATAAAGGACTTTACTTTAAAAAGGCATTTGTATTTCATGTATTATATAACTGCATTTGGCCCGCAGCCATAGATAGATTTTCATTTTGGCCCCTTCAGGGAAAATGTTTGGGTACCCCTGATTTAGACAAACACCGTTAGTAAATAATGACGTCTAAAATGGAACTGATCAGAAATGCATCTCTGACAGCCAGAGTTTGTGTGTGTTTTCATTCCTTAGTTATAAATTTAGTGGTACAAACACAACGAGTGGATACATAAAGTTATGTCCCTGTGTCAGCAAACTGATGATGGAGCTCTTCCTCACAAAGTCAAAGCTCAGCCCATTTAGCATTTTGCAGTGAAGGTACCTACCTGAGCACCTACAGGCTCGTACAAACAAGAYGTTCACCAAAAGAAGGCTGGGAAACAAAACATATAGCTGCCCACCCCCCAACAGGAGTTTTTGAGACATATCTCTGAAAACTATGTCCCATGAGTGGTTCAGATCAGGTTGTCTGTGCACAACTTGTTATAATCATGTAATAAAGCAGGATTATATGTTGTAGTTAAAACAGAGAATCTGGGCTGAAAACAGYATAAATGCTCTAATAATAAGTGCATCATTATTTCCACCATGTGTCATTAAACGTTATCATATCTACACTAAATATGCATTCTATTATTCCTAAATGACCCTTGTGACAAAATCCTGTTCACATGATAAGTTTGAGTTTTATTACAAGTAGGGTTGGGCAATATTGGCAAAAAAATTAATCACGATTAATTTTGGTGTTTAGCCGATAATGATTAATTTGATGATTAATCCCCTCGAGTCCCTGGACACTCTTATGTCTTAGTCACATGACTAATTTAGTGGGAAAGATTTGCTCTTCATAAAAATCTGTTCCAAACTGTGTTAAAACTACAGACTTCAGGCTATACATCACATTTTAAACTGTGTTGATAGATAAATAAATTACAGAACTTTTTTTAATGTTCRTCAKATTTGAAGCAGAGAGGAGSAYCRAGYGGACTGACCRGGGAAATATCCAGTCACTCTGCCTGGTGGCATTAATCGTATTAATCCTCAAGTGCCAAAAAATAATCGATTAATGTTTTTCTGATGATTAATTGCACAYGATACRATTATGTCCAACCTTAATTACAAGCAACACTGGAATTACCCTTGAATAGTAAATAAGTTGCACTAGACCTTAAATAGATTTAAACATTAAATTTAGTGTTTGGTTTTATGTATTCACATTAATATGTCCTCTGGTCATAAAAAAAAACTTTACTAAAAAGTCTTTTGTTTTTATTCAAGATGTCAAATGGTAGACCTCAGATGCCGGTCCTTTTAGACCTGCAYGGTCTAAAGCAGGGCTGCCAGTCCTGGAGGACCAGATCCTGCATGTTAGAAGCTGCTCTGCTCTGACACACCTGGTTTGAATGAACTGGTGATTATCAAACTTCTGCAGAACCTGAAGAGGTGATTTAAACACTGATTAAGGCGTGTTGGAACAGGGGAACGGGTAAAACATGCAGGATTGTGACCCTCCAGGACCAGGATTGGACATGGTCTCCCGGACAGTTTTTACAGCTGCCTTCATGCCTCATCAGCAAACCTGCAGAAATCTCTGATTCTGCTCCTGATTCACAAGCCTGCAGAAACCTTCAGCCWGAAACTCCACTAACATTTTACACACGACTTCCCGGAACACGTGCACGTGCCAGCTGTTGTCAGACTCAAAAGTTTTCTTTCATCCATCCACCTGCAGGCTCTCCCTTTGTGTCTGCTTTCCTCCTCCTCTGCAGGAACCTCACCTGCAGGGAGGGGGAGCCCAGGCCCCGCCCTTCCTGCTCTGATACCTGGCAGGCCTGCTGCTTTAAAGACTCGTTTCCACGTGATTTTTCTGTTCACACTGCACTGCTGCAGCAGACAGGTGGTTACAAAAAAGTTCTGACAACAACAGAACTTTTGATAGGTTCACAGGAGAGAGAGAGAGAGAGAGAGAGAGAGAGAGAGAGAGAGAGAGAGAGAGAGAGAGCCCTCACCAGATGGCGGTGCGCTCCTTCGGGTACTCCAGCCGCTCGATGCAGCCCAGGTAGTGCGGCAGGCTGTGCGCCGCGTTCCGAGCCAGGATCGCGATCATGACCTTTGGCGGCAGCAGCGAGGACTCGGGCTGGACCTGCTCCTGCACGCGCGTGACCAGCTCCGACACGCGGCCGGCCACCAGGGCCACCAGCGCCGCCCACAGCACACCGACTCCCGGGGCTCCCACAGCCCGCATCTTGGCTCCCAGATTCCGGCGTGACCCGCTGCCCGGAGTGGTTCAGACTGGAAAGAGGGAGAGGAGAGGAGGGGAGGGAGCCACGCTGCTGTGGAGGTGGGAGAGAAAGAGGAGGGTGGGTGTATGTCTCTCTCCTACCTCTCTTTACCCCTCCCACACCCTGCTGTGCTCCCTTCCGCCYGCTTTTAATAAGCATTACCTCTGCAGAACGTAAATGCACCTGATCCTGAATGAAMGTTTTATTCCTCCTGTTTGTCGTCTCTTTAATTCTGCAGAAACTTTCTGATCATTGTTTCCCCTCTCCTCGCCCTGCAGCTGTTTGGAGGCTGCAGCACTGAAGACCATGAACTCATCAATTCCTGGCTGCTGCACATTAAAAAATAAAATCCTGTTTCCTATGCACCAATGCAGCAACACTTCTCATAGCTACATGCAGAGGTATATAAAGTACTAAAAAACTGATTAAGTTTTCAATGTTTATATTTTGAATGCAACAAAATAAAAGTCAAAGTTACAATTAAAAAAAATACCCAGTAAAATTAAAAATCCTCAAAAAATTACACAACGTAAATGTACTTCTACACCTATAGTCTTTCTGAAGACTTTCAAAGTGATTAAGTTGCTTTTTTTCCCTCTTTTTCTTCCCAGTTCTTGCCCGAAGACAGCATGTTGCAGTTAAAGGCACAGTGTGTAGGATTTGTTGTTTTCAGCGACATCTAGTGGTTGAGTGGTTGAATCATCCTCCCTGGTCCTCCCCCCACCCCCACCCCACTCTTCCAAACGCAAAGGAGTTGCTACGGTGTCTCTCAGGTGTCAAAAATCTTTGATAATTCCAACCAC